CACAGGTTCAGGGACATTTGCAAGAAGGACCTGAAAACTTTCAGCATCCACAATGAAAGCTGGGAAGATGCTGCTAGCAACGGGCCACCCTGGAGACTTGCACTGTGCCAGGAGGAGAGCTGCTTGAGAGACGGGTAAGTGTAGAGAGCAGAGAGGACAGTGAAGCAGGCCTCAAACCCTAGTAGTGCACTGGCGTCCTCCTCTGGCCCTGCACCTAGTTCCTGCAAAAATTGTGCCAAGGACTGTGGCTTGAGAACTGGACTCTTCAGCCAGTCGTGATGCAGCAGCATGACACAGGTTAACTGACTTGCTTTGGGGCTTATCCCATTGTCTGTTGAGTCGGATAGACAGCCGCAAGCATCTGCTGTATTTCTCAGGGTCACGTGAACCAATAGGACTGTTAACAACTCTCTAGGGTGTTTTGTGTATGGGTAAACATAACATGTCGTCATTGCCTAAGGAGACCACTGGTTTAGATCATGTCAAATTCTGCAGTGGAGGAGGAACACACCCTGGCTTGTCTAGGTCACTTTGGCCAGAATCCTATCCCAGGTCTACACTACAGATCTATGTCGATATAACTACATCATGCAGAGGTGTGAAAAATCCACGCCCCTGAGTGATGCAGTTATACCAACCTAACCCAACTGTGTAGACAACACTGTGTTGACGGGACAGCTTCTTCCACCAACGTAGCTACTACCTCTCAGGGAGGTGGATTAACTACAGGACGCTCTCCCGGTGGCGTAGGAGTGTCTTCACTTAAGTCTTACAGTAAACGCTTACGATACGGCCTTTTAATTGTAAACCTGCCCCTAGCAGAGCGAACAGAATAGGCACACAATGTGATATTAAGGAGCTGCCTAATAAACCCAGAGAAGGCAGGAAAATCAAAGTCAAGCTGCAACCTTTTACTACATCCTCCAGTTCCCATTTACTTTTGTGGCTCTCCCTTAATGCATCTTGTCTGCCGTTAGAGTCAACTCTTCAGCCCCAGAAATGGGTCTCTCTCTCTCTAGTAAGATCTGTAAAGTGCCCTGTACACTGTGTGCTCTGAATAAATAATAGCTGAATAATAATGGTCCTTTAAAAACTGTAGACAGCAGAGGAAAAATAAGGACCTACCTTCCTAATCTTATTTGAAATACTCAGGACAAAAAGGAAAAAAATGGCCATTTATTTTGCTGAAAGGCAGGGGCTGACCTTCGGAAGTGGGCGTGATTGGCCTGTGACTCACTCTGTCATGCTAATGTATAGTGTGCAAAGTGAGCCATTGTCCTATGACTGATTCCCTGCTCGAGGACCCTGGTGGTGATTGTATTAGATGTCATCATATGGGAAGAGATTTTCAGAAGAGCTCACCACCCACAGTAGGGGCTGTGGATTTTCAGAGAACAGTGTGTTGAGTGTGTTTGTTTAATTGGGCCCTTTTTTTAGATGCTTAAAAGGAAGCTGCGCTTTCTTGGAAAATCTAGATCACTTGATGATCACCTGTTCTGTTCATTCCCTCTGAAGCACCTGGCATTGGCCACTGTCAGAAGACAGGATACTGGGCTAGATGGACCTTTGGTCTGATCCACGATGGCTGTTCTTACGTATGGAAGAATCCAGGGGTAGTTAAGGCTGGTGCTTTCATTGTCCTCTGCAGACACAGAATCCCATCTTGCTCCTGTTAAAATTGATGGGAGTTTTGCCATCGACTTCAGTGCAAGCAAGACGTTTGCATGTATGTGGCTATTTGCAGGTGGTGACAGTAATTTAAAGAGACAATGGCCCTGGTGGCAATGGAACAGTTCAGATTGTGAGTGTGTGTGTTTTTTTAACTTGCTTTACTTATGGGAGGAGGCTGAAGGTTCCAAATACCTGGAACCATAGGTGTGGTAGGTGCTGTCTTCCCCCAAGAGGAGGAGGTGTTTTAGTGGTGCACTCTGTGTGTTGTTTGAAAGGTGCTTTTGGATCAAAAGAGCTGCGTGAACAGGAAGGATTCTTAGTACCCAGTATATTGTAATGGCTTTGATGCTGATGTTCTGTGTGGTCTGGGGACTTCTCTACTGACACATAAACCCCCAGTGAGGAACGTGCTTGAGAGGTGTAGCTTGGACTGGAGTCCAGAACCCTTAGAAGACGGACGCTTCATCCTATAATTGTGCATTTAGGGTGCAATTAACCCACTGGCCAAGGCCCAATGCAAGGGCCTGTGATGCCCCATTGCTGGGCAAAACAGCTGCACCAGGAGAGCCTATGGCCCAGCTGGGAGGCTGCCTCCATGTTGATTGTGCACGTGCCGGCCAAGAGGGGAGTGTCGGGGGCGGTCTGGAGAATTGGGTCCTTACATTTGGTATAGAGCTCGTGGCTGGGAAGCCACGGTCAGGTGGGACAAAGAGGAAGCAGCTGCTATTCCAGCTCATAATATTATGGGTTGGAGTTGAAACCTTGTTCAACCCGATGAGTGCACGTGCCCTTCATTTAAGAGAGTTGTAAGAGACTGTCAAGGGGCCACACCTAAAATAAGGCCTATTACAGTCTGGCCAGCAGCAAGCACCACGTGGGTGGGGGGTCCACAGAGTATTGTGACCCGGTGGGAACGTAGGTGTGTGAGAGACAGGCAAGAACAGAGAGGCAGAGGCAAAAAGCAAGAAAGCCAGTGGTAGCTGTTGAGCCCAGTGTCCTGGGAAAATCTAGAGAGACAGCATTTGGGTCAGTTGGCGAAAGTGGCTTGCGGCTGTAAGGTAAGAAACCGCTCCCTTTGTTTGTGGGTCCTGCGGCATTTGGAGAAGCAGGACTTTGTACATTCCTTGTAAATAAACAAGCTTGCCTGACAGAGAATACCGGACTCCATGCATTACTGCTTCCAACGGGAACGTCCTCCGGGCCCCAAAAACTGAGTAGCCACTCAGGTCGAAAAAGGGCAAAAGTACTAATGAGGTCTTTAGCTCAGGGGAGAGAGGCACAAGAACCAACCGCTAGGAGCTGGACAAATTCAAAATAGTAATAACAAGTTTTTAACCGCGAGGATGACTAATCATTGGAACAAACGGCCCAGGAAAGGTGGATTTCCCATCTCTTGGTACCTTTTAACATCAAGACTGGATGCCTTTCTAGAAGATGCTTTAGCCAAATGCAAGTTATGGGGCTAAACTGAGGGGTAACTGGGTGAAATGTTTTGGGCTGTGATATACAGGAGGGCAGACTAGGTTATCTAATGATCTCCCTTGGGGCCTATGAATCTGGGTGGGGGGAAGAAAAGCTGAAGAAGCAATCACAGAAGGGCTGCTTTGCAGCCTCATGCCCTTCCCTGTGGGGGCAGGGCATGTTTCTGACCACTCCCCAATCCTTCATTTGGTTCTTCCCGCCCAACCAGTTTTATGCCAATGTGGGTCAATTTCACCTTTTAAAGATTTTTGCTTTTAAACTGCTTCAGGGCCCAACATGGGATCCTGCACATAGGCCGGTGGCAGCATTAACCCTCTGTATTGCTGTAAGGAGAAAATGGTTTCCTTGATCTTCAGCTGCCATGGAATCATCATATGACTGACTTCCAATTATGCCGCGAAAGGTCATGTCCGGGCACTGCAACATTTCACAGACAGTATCTTCATTACAGATGGGTAAATAGTGAGGGAAATTATCCACTAGGATTTCAGCAATTTCTCAAGAGGACTTTGCTCTGACCCCTTTGCAAAAAGGAAAACCGAATCTGACTCTATAATCGGTGTCGCACGCTCATCGCCTCCCAGGAGTGCAGTAAGCACCATGACGACGTCTGTCACCTCTCGTTTGTTCTCCTGCGGGATGAAGCATGTGCAGCGGAGTGTTTTGTTTTGGAAGGTTTTTTTCAGTGCGTAATTTGTAATGAAAGGTGCCGGAGCTCAAGCAATTTTATTACTTTCATAACCGATGCAGCAAGCCAAGAGGTGTCGGGGCTGTCAGCTGCCCACGCCGAGAGGTGCTGGGTTCACTGGCATAAATTAAGCCCTGGTTGTTGTTTTTTAAGGCACAGTAACATCTATGTTTTAGAGAAGGCAGAGGGTGGGGAGGCTGGTATTTGTCTCTGCTTTCAACAGTCCAGAAGGGGAGGGGGCGAACCATCCCCTGGGGCAGGTAGAGTCCATGGAAGGTGAATTCTGGGCCAGTAGCTGAGATTTGTTTGACACCAAACGGGACTGTGTTTCAAGGCAAAATAACTCTCATTTTAGGCTGAAGTGGTTTATAAAGGCTAGATCAGCCAATGGGCACCAATCCCACGTGACCTAAGAGACCAATCATGCAGCTCCAATAGCAAAGGTTCAAAGGAATCCTCCCAGTTCACCAAGATTTTGGGAAAGGAGGAGAAACCTTTGGGGCTGGTGTCAGCGAGCGAACGAACCGCGGGCTGGGCAAACACATTGCTCGTGTGACCCCGTAAAAGCTAAAGGCCCCGATCCTGCAATCGGATCCGCGGGAGGGGGCTTCTTCCACCCCTACGGAGCTTTCGGGACGTTGTCCCCCCCCCCAGGGGCTCCGATTGCAGGATCGGGCCCTCCACTGACCGTGTCGTTTGTTTAAAAAACGTTCCCCCAGGTTAGGGACACGGAAGGCTTCGCTCGTCTGCCCCAGCTGAGCGGGTTTCAAAGCAGGTCCTTGGGAGCCGGATTATTTTTAAAAATACCACTTGCGTTGCGTGGCATATTTGAGAGCGTCTCTTGCACGGTCGTTTGAGGGATATTTATTTACTTCGGAGGGGCCAGCCCCCTCTAGACAAAGCTATGTAAAGTATGTCTTGCCCTCCACGAACCAGACCCAGCCGGGAGCTTAAATTAGAAAGACCCCGCAACCCTGCGAAGCCCGGGGTGGTGGTGGTGGTGGATTAAAGAAGCAGTTTCTGAAAATCAACCTCCCAGGGGGCTGCCTCCTGGTGTCTGTACGTTTCAGGCTGGAGAGGGGCGCGGAGGAGGTATTTCTACACCGGGGAAGCTGCCAGGCAGTCCCGGCGCAGAGTGCAGGGGAAGTGGCTCCCAGGGGGCGTCCCGCTGTCTCTACGCGGAGGCGGAGTGCCGGGGGCTGGGCGCTGCGCGCTGATCCCACCCCTCGCTCTCCCAGTTACCAAGCGCCGCTGCCTGGTGCGGCTGGTTCCGCAGCTCGCTCGCTCGCTCGCTGCCGGGGGAGCAGCGGTGCCGGGGCAGCTGCAGGGGTGCGCGGGCGGCGGACCCAACACTGCCGCCGCCAGAGAAGCGGAGCCGGGCGCTGCCCCGAGCTGCGAGAGCGCTCCCCGGGACCGGGGCACTGCGCGCCGCGGAGCCCTGCGGGTCTCCGCCCAGAGGAGCCGCTGCCTGGCCGGGGCGGCGGCGGCGGCGATGCCCGCTCGCTGATCCCCGAGCCCGGCGGGCAAGGCTCCCCCCTGCCCCGGCGCGGCTCTCCGGTGATGCCCCAGCAGCTCCCCGCGGCGGCCCCAGCAGCTCGGTGAGGAGCCCGGGGCCCCACCTCCCGGAGGGCAGCGGCACAGCTGTAAGTAGCCGCGGGCGGGGAGCCGCCGCTTCCAGGGAGGGGGGCGGAGCGGGGCCAGCTCCGGGGGACCCTCGGGAGCCTGGGGGTCTATTGCCCCGCAGCGGGCGGGGGGCCCCTCCGGGCTGGTGCGCTGTAAGTTTCCTGGCAGCGGCGCTGGGCGGTTCACGGGGTGGGGCTGGAGCTTGGCCTCACTTCTGCACTAGTTTCAATCCAGGAAACGGTTCGCCTCCGAGGGAGCGTTCCCGGCCGACGGGGGCTGGCTCTGCCCGTCCGCCCCCGACCCCGCGCGAGCGCTCCGCGGAGCCCGGTGTGATTTGCACCCTTTGGGAAAGGCAGCCTGCCAGAGGCGGTTTGCAACAGGATCAACTGCAGTCGGTTACCAGCGTCTGGGTCCATCTAACTCCCCCTGTCCCGCTCAAGTCAAATGCTCAAGGCAGCCCCTGGCCCCTGTTGTCCCAGCCCTCCTTTTTGTGAGGTGCTACCTTTCCCAGAGTCCACTGATGACACATGCCTGGCACCTGGGATCCTACCCAGTGTAGCAGGAACTAGGGGGGAAATCCCTACTGGTGTAGATGATAGTTAGAGCTGTGATTTTTTTTCTTTTCTTTTAAAGCTACTGGGTGCTCACACCATCTAAAAATATGAAACAAAATCCAAGTCTTTAGTGCCTGGCAGGGAGAATCCATTACAGCACATGGACTCTGGATCTGTCTGCAGTGTGGAAGGGAAAACACTATTTCTTTTGCAGCTTCATAACTGTGTGTGTTTGCCACTGGAGGGGGGAGAAAGAAAAGGCTCTGCTAATGTTGGTAGGGGCCCACATCCGTCCATCCTTAATGTTTAAAATACCACCCAGACATGAGAATCAACCTGATTCTCCGCAGCCGCTCTGGGACCTTCAGGGATCTGTTTAGAGTTGATGGTACGTGTGTCTTTGGGCACATTTTAAAGCCCGTTCCTCTCTCTCACCGTGTGCCACAAATCCTGCTTGCCTTCCTCCGGCCAGTAATGCAGCTCACTCACTACTACTCCTTTGCTCCCGCTCTGTCTCCTCTATGAAGATAGTGCACTCTTCAGGGCACTGGGTGTTCGGAGCAAGCACGCTGAGGCCCAGATCTGGCTTGTAGCCTCTTGGCTCTCCCATAGCACGTGGTTAGAGCAGCCTGGCTGACTTTGACGGGACTGCTGTTGTGAGTGTGGTGATTTAGGATTTAGCCTGGATTCACGGATGCCCAAAAATTTACCTTGCAGAAGAGATCAGTGACCCACTTTGCATTCGGATGGTTAATGTGCAGAGGCCCTGGACTCGGGTGCTGTGAGGTGCTGGATATCTTTCTGGTAGCTCCGTGGTACAGGGCCCCCCTCTGCTCTGCCCCACTTGCTGTGGGTTGGGAGTCAGAGTGAGCGGCAGCCAGCGGGTGAGCTGAAGGGCAGAGGTGCTCGTTTGCCCACAGTTTGTGATGTGCCTCCACTTTTGTACCCTTCGCTGTTGGCTATTGTTCTCCTCCACCCTGTTTGCTTTGTAGCCGCTGGGTCTGCTGGAGCCTTGGGGGATGATTCACTATTTTGTATAGGAGGTGGTGGGAAGGGCTCCCTTTCTTTGTAAGAACAGCTTCCAGGGTGTTAGCGACAGCTCGGATGGCTCGCTGGGTTTAGGAAGTCCATCATTCGAATTTGGGCAAATAACTGAGCTACCAACAAGTAGCACGCTCCAAAGCTCCATCTAGGTTTGGGATCCACCGAATGCCATGAACACCTGGTGAATGACTTGAACAAGGAAAATATTTCCACTTAGCTCCCCCCTATTGCTAAGCTAAGATCCCGATCCTGTAACACTTCCTCATGTGAGTAACCCTTACTCACGTAGCCCTGTTGGAGTCCAGGGACCGCATGGAGCAATCCGGATTAATGTACTGGCATGCCCACCTTTGCTGTCACCAGGGAAACTGCAGTGGTGGGAATTTTGTGGCAAAGAAGGCCCGAGGGCCAGATTCAATGGAAAGTTTCATCAATGGCCTGTGGATCCAGCCCTAAATCAGGAGTAATTTCACTGACTGTACCGAAGTTGCTCCTGAATGATGCTGGAGGAACTGGGGTGAGAGTCTGGCCTTTAGTGTAGACATATCCCTAGAGTTCACCTCTGAACCTTGGTGTTACCGCAGAGTTCTGTTCAGGGGCAGCCCTAGACTAGCTGCCAGCAACTGGCCCCCTAGGCGAACCATGCAATCAGCACCCCCCACCCCAAATCCCCAGGGCAGATCTAGGCTGAAGGTTTTGGTAAACTGGGAAACATTCTGCCCCTTTTTCCCTTTTAATGTTTTTAAGTGGTTTTTTGTTTGTTTGTTTGTTTTTTAAACAGAGGCTTAATTATTCGATTTGTCCGTCTGTCCAACCAGTGTTTCTGAGATCAGATAAAATAGAGACACAAAATTTTCAAAATAGATTTATACATGACAGCTAGATGATATTTCAGTCCGGTTTCAAATAAAAATGCATTAAAATATAAATTATAATTTTTATTATTACAAATCCAAAATCATCCATTATGCTATCCTGCTTTAACTGCCATTACCACCACATCCAATATAGAAAGAAATAAGAAAACTCTTCAATGAACTTTAACCTGTATTTACAAAACACTCAGAATAATAAAACACTCTGTGCTCTTAAAACATATCTTTTCTTGCTTTAAGTTTTGAAAATTCAGTCACTAGTTCTTTTAGATCCAGTTTTCCAACTATTTCATGCTCTATTGACATTGTGACAAGTCCAACAAGCCTCTCTTGCGCCATGGTTGAACGTAGATATGTTTTTATCAATTTTAACTTTGAGAAACTACGTTCCCCACTAGCTACGGAAACTGGCAAAGTTATAAGAATGCGTAGAGCTATAAAAATGTTTGGAAAACTGTCTGTGAGTTTATTTTCAGAAACAAACTTCAGTACTTCTTCAGGAGTGGAATGTTTCTTAAATCATCTTGAAAAAGCCTAAAGCTCACTACACAAATCTGTAGCATCAATGTCTTGAATTTTCAGTTTTATACAAAATTCTCTTATCTGTTTTGCTGTTTTCTTTTGCAAGCTGTGGATATCATATAGAAAGCCAAATACTGAATCTAGCTGCTGCATCTGTTGAAATCTTTTGTCAACCGAGTGAATAGCAGTATCAAGGACCGCGAAGTAGAAATTCACTTTGAACCTTTGTTTTGGGTTCTGAATGGGTGTGTCTCGTCCTTCATACGAAAACTGCTGTTTCTTTTGCCAAATGCGAACTGGCTCTGGTTCAAATTCTGTCAGAAAGTGTATTTCTTCAGCAAGCTCGAAGAATCTACCAGTGTTCCTTTGAACCCTTCATCACTTCTGAATTCCTCCAGAATATTTTTAGTTTGCTGCAGTTTTTGAATAGCAGGATGTATGTTCAAGTTCTTTTCCTGAAGCTGCTTCCTAGTGAGGTTAATCTAGAAAAGGATATTATACCACAAAATGAGTGAAGTCACAAATTTCAACTTGGAAAGGCCATTTGCAAGAGCTTCTGCATCTGAATGTGCCATATTGCCAGATGATCCAGTAAAGGTAGTACCATCATAAATTTCAATTAGGGCATCATAAATGTTTCCAAGTTCATAGCAAAGAGGCTTCAAAGCATCAATGCGACTCTCCCATCTTGTCTGACTAAGTGGTTTCACAGTTAGAGAATTCACATGGCGAGTCAGAATCTCCCAACGGCATGTTGAGCCTGAGAAAAACACATAAACATGTTGCACCAGGTCAAAGAAACTGCTTGCAGCCAAACAGCATCTAGCAGCATCATTGACAACCAAATTCAGAGACTGCGCACTTCAAGGAACGAAAAAGGCCCTAGGATTGATTTCCATCATTCTCCTTTGCACACCATTGTCTTTACCCTTCATATTACTCCCATTATCATAGCCTTGGCCACGTAAGTTTTCAACAGATAATGACATTGTTTCAGGATTTGAATCCGGATTTGAATCAGTTCATTCTGCATATTTTTTCCTAAGCAATGAATCTGTGTTTCATGATCAGTTATTTTACATAGATGCTCCTTCATGACTGGATCAAATAAAGCGAGGTGTTCAACAAACCTAAAAAAGTTTCCATTACCTGGAGTGTATAACTTTTTCATTTCTGCCGCAGCCGCGGAATGCTAAATTTTGCCCACCGAGAACTCTCACTAAAGCAATCAGATGCTCTAATATTTGTTGCCAATATTCTTCTTTTTCCTTGATCACATAAATTTTCTTCGATAGTTTTTCCTTTTTTCAACCATAATTCAAGTTCTTTCCAATTTTGAAAACATTCCAAATGTTCTGTACTTCTTTCACGTGAAGAGAGAATTGAAGATCTGTTTTTCCAGTCCTTCGAACCATTTTCAGTAAGTGATGTACCAATTGCTTGATTTCTAAACAACTTGCAGCAAAAGCAAAACACAGCGTCCTTCGACAATGAATATTGTAACCAGTTTCGATGAATTTCTTCCCCATTAATGAGTTTCCTCTTGTAATGCTGAGCAGAGAATTTTCTTTTATTTCCATCCCTAGGGAAGGGAAATTCATGAACTTGTTCGGGTCCATGTTCCACGAGAATTTGCCGCACACTGTCATCACATCTGGGCCATGAAGCTGGGTCCCCATAACTGTAACGTGTTTGTAACTTCCTCATCCGTTCTTCCTTCTACTTCATTTACTTCAATTTCTGCATGTGTCTCTGAAGGTGAATACATTTTCTCCACTTCCATATCAGTCTGATGTTGTGAGCTGCCTTCATCTAGAAGTAAGTTTCCATCATCTTGAGTTTCCAAACTGCTTCCATGCGGATGTGAGCTACCCTCCTCTCCAAGTAAAATTCCTTCATCTGGATGCTGTGAACTGCTTCCGTCTTTATTTGGATTAAAGAGAAGATATTTCAGGAAGGAGCCCTGCTATTTTGCTTGGTCCTTTTCCTTCTGAGCCTTTTGTTTACGATACTCAGCTCCTGAGG